GATCTAAACTTAATATTCCTCTTGACATAGGTTCGGCCCTTTTAGATGAAATGCCTTAGGAGATGATTTTCACTAGTTGTTCTCATGCATAGGTCCTATACATTTCGGCCATATATCATGGTGCTAGGAAAACATTCACAAATTTCCTTTCTAGGCTTATTAGGGTTCGGCCATTTAGAGGGTGCATACCTAGGGATAATTTTGATAACATGTTCATGGGTTTAATACTCATCAAGTTCGGCCATTTAGGGTTAATGCCATTAGGAGATGATTTTCAAAAAAATGCTTTCATACATGTGATTCTAAAACTATTACTTCAACATTTTCCATGTTACTTTAAATAAAATATTGAATATTTAATAGGATACATTTAGATTTGGCCATTTGGGATTAGGATGCTTAGCAAATGTTTTGAAGATTTCGAGGGAGCATGCATATCATTTTAGGTTCGGCCATTTAGAGATAATATACTTAGGAGGTGATTTCAAGGATGATAGATGCATGCATGGCTTCATTAGTCCAAGATCTAGTCATGTAAATTAGTTGAGGTTCATTTCTACTAACTTGAAGAGATGAAGGGGTTCATAAGATGTTACCTTGATGGTGATGTCTAAAATGCAACCTTAGTCAACACTTCACACTTGATCTTCAAGGAGCCTAAGATTGAGAGTTGCTTCCAACAACTTCTTGATCTCTCTCAAGGAAGTTGGAGAGCTTGGAACAATGTTGAGGTAACCCTAGACCTTCTAGCTTGGTGTGGCCGAGGCTTAGGGCAAGGAAAGGTGTAGTGTTTGAGTGTTTTGCTTGCTTGGCTTGTTTGGGAGGGAGGTGGCCGAAGCCAAGGTGTGAGGAGGAGGAGAATCCCTAGTCTTGTGTTTAAGTCTTCACGGCCTTAGGGGGAGGAGGAAGCTCTTTGCTTGTTCTTTTATTTAGGCTTTGCCATCATTTGCTTAGGGGTTTAGGTTAGGTGTACTTGAGTATTACTTGTGAGTGTGAAGGAAGCTACTCACATGCATTGGTGGGTGTATAGTGCTTGAGTGTGGAGTGTGAGAAGTCTTCCTTTGCCTTAGTTGAGAGGAATGGCCGAACATGCAAGGGAGGAGAGGTGATGGCTCTTGCAACCTCATAGGGTGACCATTGCATGTGTTCCACTTGGCATTTTGACTTGATCTTGGTTAGAGGTTTGAGTAAAGAAATCCCTTACTTGACTTGGTGAGTGTGGCCGAAACATGTGAGTAGAAGGAAGTAATTTTCTATTCTTTTATTCCATTCTTTTTATGACGTAAGCACAAGATTTTAGGGGAGTTGGAGTGTGATTTGAAGTGAGGTCTTCTTTGTTATCCTTGTAGATGGTTTGGCCGAATATGTGAGGAGAGAAGAAGAAGTGATCATGTGACTCTCTCTTGGTGGCCGTGTAGGGTGTGCATAGGAAGAAGGGAAGACCTTGGTCTTTGGAATATGTCATGCATGGCTTGGAGTGTGGAAGAAGCAATCTTCCTTTTCTCATTATGTTTGCGCCATCCAAGGTGGGTTTGGAAAGGAGAGTTGCTTTTGGAGAAAGGAAATCACATGCATGGTTAAGGCTTGGAGTGTGGAAGAAGCAATCCTCCTTCTTTCTTCTTGTTTGTGTCGTCCAATGTAGGATGAGAAAGGAGAGTTGCTTTTGGTTAAAAGGAATTCACATGCATTGGTTAGGGTTGGAGTGTATCTTACACAATCTCCTACTTCATCCTTTCTTTCCTTATGTAGCACCTAGGGAGTGTAGAAAGCAACTCCTTTCCCTTTTCTTCTTGTCAAGGCCGAGGTTGACATGTGAGGAAGGTGGGATTAATTCAAATTTTCCAATAATGTTATGACACATCATCAAGGGTTGGTCTTTGGATTTGGGTTGGGTTTGGTGGGTGTTTTCGGCCCATTAGGTTGCTAGGGGTTGGATCACTAGTAGTTGGGCTTAGGCTTGGTATAAGTGGTGTGGCCTTGGATCTTTGTGTGTATACTATTTGGGCCATGTCTTATTCAATTACTAAAATGGGATTACATTGCTTTGAGCCTAAATCCTTTCTTAATTGGTCTTGACTTATTCATATTCTTAAGTAGGTTGGGCTATGACATTGTTTGGGCTTTAACCATATTGAGCTAAGTTATTACTTATCTTAGTTAGAGTGGGTTCAAACTTAGAACTAATTTTTGCTTTTCAAAGCTAATCGTTCACTGAATATGGGCTGGACCCTATTTGATTTCATTTCATTAAACTAATTTTGGATTACATGATTTTTGGGTTATTATATCCACCCTACCTAATAAAATTTTCGTCTCGAAAATTACAAACATTCTAAGTCGGGATACTTCTGTCGGATCTCATCTTCTCGCTCCCAAGTTGCTTCTTCGGGAGTCCTTCCTTGCCATTGCACCTTCACCATTGGTATCACTTTTCTACGAAGGCGTTTCTCTTCCTTGTCCAGAATCTTGTAGGGTACCACCGGGATCTTCAGGTTGGGTCTTACTTCCACAGTATCCGGTAGTACAACATGGGAGGGATCTGCCAAATACTTCTTCAATTGGCTTACATGGAATACATCGTGAAGGTTTGCCAGATTGGGTGGTAATGCTAACTGATAGGCTACCAGTCCTACCCTTTTTAGAATCTGATAGGGACCGATATAGCGTGGACTTAACTTTCGTACACCAAGAGCTCTGCCAACATCAGTAACAAGGGAGAGTTTGATGAATACATGATCCCCTACTTCAAATTCCAGGGGTCGGTGCTTCAAGTCATAGTAACTTTTCTGTCGGTCTTGGGCTTTCCGCAGCCTGTCGCGGATCATCTTGATCTGCTCTGTCGTTTCTCTGATCATGTCTGGTCCGAACAACTCTCTGTCGCCAACTTCTTCCCAGCATACAGGTGTATGACACCTTCTTCCATAAAGTGCCTCATACGGAGCCATACCGATACTGGCATGATGGCTGTTATTGTAAGAGAATTCTGCCAATGGCAAGTACTGATCCCAACAACCTTCCTCCTCTAAAGCACAGTCCCGTAACATGTCCTCAAGTGTTTGTATTGTCCTCTCTGTCTGCCCGTCGGTCTGGGGGTGATAAGCCGTGCTTAATCGTAGTTGGGTCCCGAACGCCTGTTGCAATGAAGACCAGAATCGGGATGTGAACTTAGGATCCCGATCACTGATTATGCTCTCAGGGACGCCGTGCAACCTTACAATTTCCTTCACATAGATCTGAGCCAACTTCTCTGTCGTGTAAGTCCCTTTCACCGGTATGAAGTGTGCTGATTTGGTCAGTCTGTTGACCACTACCCAGATGGCATCGTAGTCGGCTTGAGTTTTGGGTAGACCTGTTACGAAGTCCATAGATACAATTTGACATTTCCACTCCGGAATGCTCAAGGGTTGTAGGGTGCCTGCCGGTCGCTGATGCTCAATCTTTACTTTCTGGCATACCATGCATTTGCTTACGTATCTTCCCACATCTCTTTTCATTCCTTTCCACCAGAAGTTCTTTTTCAAGTCTGCGTACATCTTGGTGGCTCCTGGGTGTATTGAGTATTGGCTCTTATGTGCCAGCTCCATGACTTCCTCTCTCAGGAGTTTTGTAGGGACAACTATTCTCCCTCGGAACGTAATTATGCCTTGCTGGTTCAGGCTAACACTCGGTTGGTTCCTCATCCTCTTCAAACAGTCGACGGCTTGCTGAGCATGTTTGATTCTTTCTAGTAATTCATCCAAGATCTGCACCGCCCAATATTCGGCTTTGCATTCGCTATTTGCCACTGCTAAGTCCAAGTTCCGAAATTCCTCTATCAGTTGATGCTCGGCTATCATCATGCTCGCAACTCCTCTGGTTTTTCTGCTTAAGGCATCTGCGACTACATTCGCCTTGCCGGGATGGTATTGCAATTCAAAGTTGTAGTCCTTTATGAACTCCATCCAACGGCGCTGTCTCATGTTTAGCTCTTTTTGATCGAATAAATACTTGAGGCTCTTGTGATCACTGTACACTGTGACAGTTGCGCCGTACAAGTGATGACGCCATATCTTCAAGGCAAACACGATCGCAGCTAACTCCGGATCGTGTGTGGGGTAGTTTTTTTCGTGCGGCTTCAGTTGTCGGGATGCATATGCTACTGGTCTGCCGTGTTGCATAAGTACACATCCCAAGCCTATCTTGGAGGCATCACAATATACCTCGAATGGTTCCTCCAGGTCTGGCAGCGTCAGTACTGGAGCTGTTGTCAGCATTCTTTTCAACTCTTGGAAACAGGCTTCACATTCTTGAGTCCATACGAAGGGGACTTCCTTCCTTGTTAATCGGGTGAGTGGCAACACCCTCTTCGAGAATCCTTCTATGAATCTTCGATAATATCCTGCTAGCCCAAGGAAGCTTCTTATTTCCGTGACAGTCTTTGGTCGTTCCCAGTTTACTACTACTTCGATCTTACTGGGATCCACTGCTACTCCTTCATCTGAGATTACATGTCCAAGAAATCGGATCTCTGGCAGCCAGAATTCACACTACGATGGTTTTGCATATAGTTGTTTCTCCCGCAATATTTGTAGCACAGCTCTCAAATGTTCTTCATGCTCTTCCTTGCTTTTCGAGTAGATTAGTATGTCGTCGATGAATACGACCACGAATCAATCCAAGTAAGGTTGGAAGATCTGATTCATGTAGCCCATGAACACTGCCGGGGCATTAGTCAATCCGAAGGGAATGACCAGGTACTCGTAGTGTCCGTATCTTGATCTGAAGGCTGTCCTAGGGTTGTCTTCCGACTTGATTCGGATCTAGTGGTATCCTGACCGGAGATCGATCTTCGAAAACACCTTCGCACCTCTTAACTGATCAATTAAGTCCTCGATACGAGGAAAGGGGTACTTGTTCTTGACAGTCACTTTGTTGAGTTGCCGATAGTTTGTGCAAAGTCTCATTGACCCGTCCTTCTTCTTTACAAATAGAATTGGTGCTCCCCACGGGGATACACTGGGTCAGATGAAATTCTTCCCTAGCAGGTCTTCTAGCTGCTTCTTCAATTCTACCAATTCAAGGGGAGACATACGGTAGGGTGCAATTGAGATTGGTCCAGTCCTGGGAATAAGTTCAATAGAAAACTCCACTTCCCTTTCAGGGGGAAAGGTGGTATTGTCGTCAGGAAATACATCCTCGAATTCTTTGACCACGGGAATGTTCATCAACGGTGTCTCGCTCGCACCTACTAGACCAGCTATTAGCATGAAAGTGCAATCTCCTGATTCGACCGGTGGAGTATTGGGGAGTGGGGTCTCCATCATGTCCCCGCCGACTATTATACTTCGGCTGCTACAATCAATTACTACGTGCTGTTTGGCCAGCCAATCCATTCCCAATATCAGGTTCAGTTTGGCTAAGGGGAGGATTATGAAGTCTTGGTTGTACTTCTTTCCTTTATATCTGAATTCTACATTTTTACATGCGAAGTGAGACATTGTCACTTCCCCCGTCGCAGAGGTAACTTGCATTGGGGATTGCATTGGGCTTATGGTTAAGTTAAAGGCTTTTGCCACATAGTCGGCAATGAAGGAATTGGTTGCTCCAGAGTCAAATAACACAGATAGTTCCTCACCACATATATTAATCGTACCTTTAACTAGTTCGGCCGCCTGGTCCGCCACATGTTGGTCTAGCGTGTAGACTCTGCCCATCCTTGGTGCCTCCGCTGCTAGTTGTTGTTCATTCCATTGAGGACAATCTTTGATGAAGTGTCCATCTTGGCTGCACTTGAAGCATTTCATCGATCCGCTCAAACAATATCTGAAATGTGCCTTCCTACATTTGGGGCAATTGGGAGCCCTGTTGCCATTTCCTCGAGGATTCCCGGGCCTCTTGAACTTGTTATCATCACGCCTGGGTTGCCACGATCTGCCTTCATTCTTCCCTCTCCCTGGTCTGTTCCTAGCCATCGGAGTTCTGTGTCTGGATCCGCTGGTCTCCGCGGGTTTTCTTATTTGTAAATCGACTGCCTCCACCTTTCTACATCTGTTTACTAAGGTGGCCAGGTCACAGGTGTCGTTGCCAGCTACAAATTCCGCAATCCTAGCGGACAGACCTCTTTGAAATTTTTCCGTCAGAAAATCCGGCATGGGCATGGTCCCTCAGTAAGTCGCCAATCGGAGTAGTTCGTTGAATTTGGCATGATATTGGTCCACCGTCATGGTCCCTTGCACGAGTCGGTCAAATTCGCCTTGCTTGCTGTCTCGGATTGACATCGGGAAGTACTTCTCTAAGAACATTTCTTCAAATACAGCCCAAGTAATTGCCGCATTTTGCATCTCCAAAGGTTGAGACGCATTAGCCCACCAATGATGGGCGTCTCCTTCCAACATGTACACCGAGAATAGCACTTTTTGATCATCGGTGCATTGGACCACTCTGAATATTTTGTCCATGGCCTGCAGCCACTGTATAGCCACTATCGGGTCATGTCCTCCTCGAAAAGAGGGTGGTTAACAGTAGATCTTGATTATTCCGGCCCACCGCTCCATGGTTCGGGAGTGGTTGGGGACCAGCACCGGCTCCTCCGGTGCCCGAGCCGCTTGCAGTGTTGTTATGGGTTGCGTTGTGAGGGTTGCGTCTTATTTCGTTCAGAATATTCTGAAACATCTCCCCCGCGTTTGTCTGCATCTGTGTGATGGTATCCCTCAAGGTATTGATTTGGCCTTGCATGTCCTCGGGGCCTTGAGTATTGTTGCGGGTAGGTGGTCTACGCGGTGGCATAGTGTTGCACAGGTGTTACAGGGTACAACAAAGAGTTAAAGAATAATTCATGTCCTAAAGATCAAAAACTGCTCTGACACCATTAAATGTAACACCCTATTCTAAGAGCTGTGGTGTTATCATTGCTTACACTTATGCGCTATTTAGGGAGCTTACTGGCAGCGGAATAAATTCTGTCTTCTACTACTACTAATTAGATGGTTGCTTAAGTGTCTTATGCGGATGGTGACTTATCCTACCATAAAGGCTTGGTCTTAATCTAAGTCATATAATTTGAAACCTTTAAGATTTCTTATGAAAACGTTCCTTGCATAGGTTTCTCTTTCACTTATTGTTACGTCCGTATAAGGGTAAGGTTTCTCACACTAATTCCAATCATATTAGCGAAAATTATAAGACGTCTAAAGCTTAATCATGATAACCTCAAAGTATGATAGTTAGGTACAGTCATCCAAAAGTAAGTACTACTACTCAATGTCTAGAGATCCATCCAAAAGCTCATAATATCCTAACATCTCATCCAAAACGAAATACATAGCGTGCACATATAACTTGTTACAAACTAATTTACTACAGTCATCCGGCAATAAATGTAACGCATCTTTCTTTACTTCCAGGCATACTAGTCGCTTGCCATCCCTTACCCACATCTTCATTCTTGGCTTTTACCTGAAAGGGATTCCCCAAAGAGAGGTGAGATAGGGGGTCTCAGTAAGGACTCACAGTTGGAGCAACCTCCAAACCATGATGCTTACTCCTGCAACTGTCATATAATAACATATACAATAATAGAATGGGAGAAACATTGAAACATAGTTTGGAAAATAATCATGCTTTCTTTTCTTCATACCAATCCTGCCATGGCAATTACTCTCCATGGTCTTACGGACGAATACCCAGGGTCCTCGTCAGGTTGCCTCTGTGGTATTAGTGCACAGGCCATCATAATACAACTTGCATGAACAAAACATTAGTTCCAAACAACCAAACATATCACTGTAATGTATCACATAACAGATTGCAGTCAAACCAACACTTTAACATAAAGGGGCAGCAACCAAGCACCCTCGGGTGTCTGATGATGCTATCCGGTTGAGATTATTCCCTTTTGCTGTAAAGGGAGAAGCACTTAGCTGGCTGGAGAGGTAGCCTGCACGGAGCATAGCTACATGGGATGATTTGTCTACAAAGTTCTTTGCGGAGTTCTTTTCCATGGAGAGATACAATCAAATGGTGAATGATATCACCAACTTCACTCAAACTGATGGTGAAACATTGTGTGCAGCCTGGAACAGGTTCAAGGACTTGATGATGAGGTGCCCTCATTATAATTTGATTGCTGGTAATCAAGTCAAAATATTTTTCAATGGCATCACACCTGAAGATAGAATGGTTTTGAATGGTGCAGCTGGTGGTACTATTAAAACCATGAGGGCGAATGAAACTCTGGAGCTGATAGAGAGGATGGCCAGGAATGAAAATAAGAGGGGTATCTTCAAAGTCTAAGAAAGGTAGCCTTCATCTAGAAGGTAATGAGTCAGTTCTGGCTGAAAATAAATTGCTAGCTCAACAAATGGCTAGTTTGACTTCCAGGCTTGACAAGATGCAGATCGCGGGAGTTCAAGCTCAGTCTGTTGCCTTTGTCTGTGACTACTGTACGGACAGTCATGCTCCTAATGAATGTCTATCTCTTGCTTCTTCTGATTCACCTCAACAAATGCAGGTGAATGGTGGTATATGGTATGACCAGCGCCCTCAGCAGCCAAATCTTCAGAGAAATCAGAATTTTTCTGGTGGTGGTGGTAACAATTTTCAGCGGAGAGCTCAAGGAGTTGGCATGGATTTCAAATCTAATAATTATACTCAGCCTTCACAGAATCAACAACGAGAGCCTGCTGAGTGGGAAAAAGCCTTTGCACAAATGGCCAAGACTTCGAATGAGATGGCTCAGACCACTAATACCTTTATGGAGGAGACTAGAGCCAACAACAAAAATACAAATGCTTCTATAAAGAACCTGGAGAATCAGATAGGCCAATTGGCAAAGCAAGTTTCAGAAAGAATTCCAGGTACTTTTCCTAGTAACACAGTTACAAATCCCAAGGAGGATTGTATGTTTGTCACAACTAGAAGTGGAAAAGTGGTAGCAGCTCCAGAAAAGCCGAGAATAAATATGGAAGCTGAAAAGAAGCTAAAGGAGGTTAAGGAGCCAGAAAATGAAATTGAAAAATCTGCTGAAGTGGAGAAGCCAGTTGAAAAGAAGAAGTTTGAGTTGAGTCCTGAATATGTGAGAGCCATGGCACCTTATCCTGACAGATTCAAGAAGGAGGATCAGAAGCAACAATATGGAAGGTTTCTTGATATATTCAAGAAATTGCATATCAATATCCCTTTTGCTGAAGCCTTGGCTAGCATGCCAAATTATGCCAAGTTCATGAAGGATTTGTTGTCAAGAAAGCACAAGTTGCAAGAATGCCAAACGGTGACACTCGCTGAGGAGTGTAGTGCTATTATTACAAAGAAGTTCCCGCCTAAGCGTCATGATCCAGGGAGCTTCAATATTTCTGTTGAAATTGGTAACACAAAAATTGGCAGAGCATTATGTGATCTAGGGGCTAGCATTAATTTGATGCCCCTTTCTATTTGTAATTCCTTGGGGATCACCGAGTTGAAGCCTACTTTAGCATCTCTTCAACTTGCTGATAAGTCTTTAAGGAAGCCTAGTGGTATTATTGAAGATGTTCTTGTGAAGGTGGACAAGTTCATCTTCCCTGCTGATTTTATGGTGTTGGACATGGAAGGGGGAGCTGAAATGCCTCTTTTGCTGGGTAGACCTTTCTTAGCTACATCTCGTGCACTGATTGATGTTGAAAGCGGGAAGCTCGAGCTAAGAATGAATGATGAAACTATTACTATTCACATCTTCGATTCTCTAAAACAGTCTTCTCACAAAGACGATTGTTTTAGTTTTGAAGTCGTAAAGAAAGAAAAAGATGTAGCGATTGAGGTTCCTGAAAAAGCAGATGATTACAAGGAAGATGGAACCTCAAAAGTGGAATTGAAGGATCTTCCTCAAACTCTAAAAGATGATGTCAAAGAGGTGAAGACGTCTCAAAGGAGGCGTAATCCGATACTGAAGAAGGTACTAAGAAAGAAAGTGGTGAAACTCTTTGATACGAGTTGGAAGAGACACCGGGAGCTGAAGTTTGACAAGAGACACCGAGACTCTATCTCTCGGAAAAATCAAAGCTTGAAAGAGTTCTTAACATGGCTTCATGGTTTGGAACAAATCTGGGAATGGTGGTCTCATACACCAAAGCATCCAGTACCACCGGATCCTCCATTTGCTGGGTCATCCCACGCTGCTGAGGGGGATGACATGGAGGGTTGATTATATCTCCTTGCTGACGGAGATTTTGTACATTAGTTTATTTTTTTGTTTCGTATTTTTAGTTGTTTTGTGTTGGTATATCTCTTTCTGATGTTTTAATGTGCGCATTATAGTTTATCCTATATGCCACTGTTTGTTCCATTGTGCAGGTTTTTCTTCCTTCTTGTGGTTTAATTACTGCTGAGGACATCAGTGTTCTAAATCTGGGAATGGAAGGCCAAGCATGCTAATGGATTACAACGTTATCAGGGGAGATATTCTAACCAATTGTTTTAGTTTTATTTTTTTTAGTTGTTTGTGTGCTCTTTTCAAGAAATTTTTTTGGAAATTTTGGAAAATATGATTCTAAAGCATGCCCAGGTTTAAATGTGTTCCCTATGCAACTTGCATGATTATATTTGAGGAAGCATATTTGTTATAAAAATCTAGCATGACATTACTTGGGCATGATTAGTTTTCATGATTGCTCGTTTGATTGAATTCTGTGATTTGAAAGATTAATGATGTTTGATGTTCTTGTGATTAAGTCTAGCTTGATAGCCATAGCTAGTGAGGTTTGAGCCTATACAGTTAAATTTTTCTTGAGAGGCCTCACTAGAATAGCACTCTAGAACTTGCTCTATTTCTCTGTTATGCATGCATTGATTGAAATGATAAAGGCATTTTATTCTTGTTAGCCTCTGGACAAATAGCTCACCTTATGAATTTTCCATTGTTAGCCCCTTTGAGCCTGAGCCTATTTGTTCATGATACCTGATTGATTGTTTAACCTTGTCCATGCCTATCTTGATTGAG